AATTGAAATTAAAAATTAACCAAACAAATAAAATAAATTAAGAAAATAAAATCATCAACAAAAAAAAAAAAATAGGAGACGACGGTGGTTCTCCTTGATTGGATTCGAAAGAGAAAACGCATTCGTTTCGAACGGGAAAGAGACGACGGTTCTGTTCGGTTGGATTCAGAAACGAATTGGAGATTTTTGTCGATTAGGTGTAGAGTTGGTATATATGTTATTTATGAAGGTTGTTGTGTTGGTCTTAAAGGTTACGTGCCCTAGCAAATGGAGGTTTCTATAGATTGATGCATTTCTGTTAGGCTCTCTCTTGTTTAGGCGAAGCCATGTTTTCAGTTTTATGTTTCTCATCCAAATTTTGATGTTTAAATTTGTTGCAGTTTTCATGAGTTGAATTCTACTTCTTATACGCTTGAAGTTTATGTTGGCATTTGAGTTCCATCTGCTTTCTCTGCATTACTTGAGTAGTTGGGTTAGGAAATTAAGAGACTAAATCACAGCCTTACATGTGGCATAATTTGACAAATCTTGAACCAAATTTCAAATGTCTTGCATCTAATGAGAATCTCAACTTTTTCCTTTGTCAAGATGATAAAAATGGACAATCATCAAGAGTGATGTAAGCTATTTATCATGTGTTCCTGGAGTTAAGTCTTAAATATAAAAAGGGGAAAATCTTGATGTGTGCATTATGCCATGTAGTGCTAATAGGAACTTAATTACATGAATCCTGCAACACTCTTTGCTCCCTTTAATCACAGGAGGTTATGTTTTCTGGATATTGATATGATGTTATGTATGTTCATATTGCATTGATGATGCATGATAAATACCAAATGAAGAGTGCAAGAATGGATGCAGTTCGAAGCAAGGTGATGAAGTGACAGTAGTCGTGTCATGTTTCGTATTGGGTCATAAGATTCGTCTTAGATTCATACTTCAAGCAATTTGATCTTTATATTCGGTTCCTCAAACAACGACGCCATTAACTAATTTTTTTTGGAATGATTTTATTTTGTTTATTTATTTTATTTGTTTATTTAACTTTTAATTTCAATTTAAATGATATATGACATGGCATAATGATTGGTTAAAACTAAAGGGGGTGAATATAATGGTTCACCCCTAGGGGTGAACCCAAGAATTGTTCATATGTTCTTGTTTCAGAAAAACCTCTTATATATTAATGGAGAAGCATTTTTAAAAAATAATCTTATCTTCACATGTGATTAACAAAAATGGCGTGCTAACGTGTCGTTCTCATAGAATTTCTCAATCCATTTAATTAAAAACTCAACATTTATTAAGATATTTACAAATTTTGCCATTAGTTTACCTACATTTATTTTTTCCACTTAATTTATATTTTTTTATTTTACTCAATTAATTAAAACGAAAATACAATTAACTAAAACAAAATACAATTAAAATATGCAATTAAGATATAAGAATCTATACAAAATGGAGTACCAAGTATTTTGTATATTGATTAATATACCAAGATATATATCATATTATGATAAACATAAACATTAATACATAATTTGCACAAAAAAAAAAAAAAAAAAACATTAATACATAAATGAAATTTTTTCTAATCTTGATAATCATAAATACATCACCGTTTGTCTAATAATATAAAAATCGAACACTTTCGATATCCTCAGTACATTAAAATTGGTTGATAATCGTTTTGTGCCGCACATAGTGCGGATTATTATCTAGTAATATATTATTTTAGCAAATTATATTAAAATTTTACATGATATCATGCTATATGTTTAAGACATAACCTTAATTAATACTGATGTTATCTCCGCATACTTTTTTTTTACAAATAAATCTCTGTCATATGATCATATAACAAATGAACCCTAAAATATTTTATTCGTCAAGATTTTTTTGTTAATTTATTTTATTTTTCCACAATTCGTATCATTTACAAAAAAAGTTGCATAGCATTTTAAACAAATCCGTAAAACTAGGCATGAGCATTCGGTTAATCGGTCGGTTTTGGTTCGGTTGCGCTTGTTTTCGATTAATTTGGGTATAATAATATAATAACTATTCGGATATTTAATGAATTTTGGTTCGGATCAGTTCGTTTTTTTCGGTTCGGATTAAATATTTGACCAGATAACCATAACTAACCGAAATTTTATCTAGTTTGATTTGGTTCGGTTTTTACTTAAAATAACCAAAATTAACCGAAAATACAAAAAAAAATTAGAAAGAAAATTAAATTTAGCTTGATTATGCAAGTATTTAACTTTGAAAAAAATATACAACTAACGACATTAAATATGTTGATTATTTAAAGTATCTGATTGTTTTGAGTCTAAAAATAATTAATATTTTTGAGTTTATAATTTTTGGATATTATGGGTATTATTTTTAGGTGTATTCTAAGTTTTTGGATAATTTGGTTATTGGTTTGGTTCCGGTTAATTTGGATAGACACTTTTACTAGCTATTCGGTAATTTTAAAAATTTCGGTTTGTATATGATTTGGATTTTTTTAGTTTGGTTCGCTCGGTTATTTAGTTACCGTTTTCTTTTTGCAAAGCCCTACGTAAAACTGGTGTAATAAAGCTTGCAATCCACTGAAATTGGACTTCTCCAGACTTCCATACAATAAAAGATAAAATGACACGTTTCGAGACCTAACTCCACCATTGCCGGAACCGATGAGACACTCTATAGTAACTCCCGAATAATAAGCTTCAAGTTTAATCTAGAGAATATGTAGAAACTAACCATGAAAATGAAAAGAATTAAGAGAATAACCATGATGTACAGTATCTTGTCGGATGAGCATATAAAATTACTTAAATATCATTTTCTCATCTTCTACCTCACATTTCTCTCTCATCCAAAAACACAATTTATAACCTTTTTTGCCAGAACAACTCTGACTCAATCTATAGTCCGAAGTTTCGCTAGAAAATTAATAGTTTTGTCTCTCTCTTTCATTGAATCTCTGCCTTCGATCTCCCTCTTCTCAACGGTTTCTCTCTCCCATCAGCGGTCATACTTTTCTCCATGTCATTTGATTCTCTATCTTACGCCTAATCTCTACCGAATTTATGTTGCTAGTTTATCTTTCTCGTCGAATTTTTGTGCTAACCGTATCTCACTTTCTCCCTTGGAACTCCGCCGTCGAAAATATCTCCATTGTTTGCAAGTTTTACTTTTCCAGAATTTGTGTATTTTTTCTCGAGGCACCGGTATCTTTCCGTTTTACACACGATCTTTTAATATATCATGCTATTTTACAAAGATACATGAGATTTTTCCAAATTACAAGTTGTTTCTTTCGTTATTTTTATTTGATTCATGTCATTTCTAAAAATTTCATGATTTCTTATAAAAACCGTCATCTCTATATCTACAGTCATTGCCACCATAACCACCTCCCTCACAACGACCACCATCATCACCGGATCCTCTGCTTTTATCCTGACTCGATCTTAACACCTTAAAGGCTCTCACTCCACCGTTGACAACAACATCTCTTTCACATCCACTAGTATCAATCAAATTCACATAGTGACTAATCAACAACCATCAAACTCTCTTCTATCGGCATCTACATAAGTTCCAACAAAATCATAATGATATTATTTTATTTAACAAGATATTCTTTCATATGACATGCTATTTATTTTCAAATGACATGCTATTGTTTCTCAACACGCTATATTTTCTGAAATGGCAAGCTATTGTTTCTTTTGACAGACTATATTTTCCGAAAACACTGTAGTTTTCACAAATTTCAAGTTATTTTAATGTTTTTCTTCAGATCTCGTGTTATTTTTATTTGATACATGTCATTTAATAAATTATCAGCATCTGTTTATCTTCTTTCTTTATCTCCGCCGCCAAAGTTCTTGTCTCTTATCGGATCTTCTCCACCATCACTTCTTCTGCTACCATTTTCTTCACGGTGGCCACTACTATTGTATTGACCTCAACCACCACCGCATCTACTAGATCTATAATCTCATGCGTTCATGAATCTCGACAACACCACCTTCACCCAAATTTGTAATTTTTGCTATTTATTTATTTTTGATCCTTCACTGCGACTTCCTCCTTCTTGTTCACCATCATCGCCGTTGTCAGATTTTACACTGGAATTATGATACTAATTATCGTTGCAAGTCTCGTCTTCTCTAAATAATTGAATTGTGTTGTAATTATCTTAATTTAAAGGGATAATTTGGTATTTGTGCTACCCATACCCCACATTAAAAAGAGTTAGTTTCCAAAAAAATCTGACACATGGTTAGTTTCTTAATTTTTGTGTAGAATTTGGCTATTTGCTAATATTACCCTTTAATCTAGAGAAATGGTTATTACTCAGTTTAGTCTTTACACGAACGAAAACATGGTTTTACCTAGGCCTGGGCATAATACCCGAACCCGAAGAACCGAACCGAGCCCGACCCGAAAAACCCGATCCGAACCCGAACCCGAAGTTTTAAAATACCCGAACGGGTTTTAAACTTCACAACCCGAAAACCCGACCCGAACTCGAACCCGAACAAGTACCCGAATATACCCAAATATAAGTACGTAGTTATAATATATTAGTTTGTCCAAAAAAAAAAAAAAAAATTATAATATATTAGTAATATTTATACTTGTAATAACCTAAATGCCTAAAATATTCGGATGTTAAGATATTTCCGGATGTTTTAACTACTTTGGGTTACATTCGGGTATAAAATACTTAGGTTTTATAGATTTTTTGAGTATTTTTCAATACTTTGCATTGAATCGGATACAAAATTTCTAATATTTGGATACTTCGGGTAAACCCGAATCCGGACCCGAAATATCCGACCCGAACCCAAAGTTTTAAAATACCCGAACGGGTTTTAGTTTTCTAATCCCGAAAAACTCGAACCCGAAAAACCCGACCCGAACCCGACCCGAATATCCGAACGTCCAGACCTAGTTTTACCATTAAAAACAACAAATAATTCTTAAAAATACGTTAAAATCCAAGAACAAAAAATTGAAATAAACCAAACAAAATTGTAGTGGATGTGACATTCTAGAAGCATGTTCCACTTCCCTCCTTTGTCTTCCACCATCTCACTCCTCATAAAAAATAAAAACACAAAGTTGAAAAGTAAGTGAAAGCATGAAATACCAAAACTACCCCTAGTTCCCACATGTGCTCCTATTTGCTTTCCGAAAATACCAAACTCACCCATCTCCTTCCTCTTCTCCTTTTCTCTTCGGACAAGAACACAACCAAACAAATCTATGTTAGACATGTCGGAATCTGTACTAACGGCGATGTATAGTTGGTTCACACCGACAGTACTCTTCGTCTTCCTCAACCTAATGATTGGTACTATCGCCATTAGCTCATCTTTCTCTTCCAAATCCAACGACCCAAATCAAACTCAGATCCAACGCTCTCCTTCCATGATTCATCGTCTCAAATCTATAAATTTCTCTTCTTTCACTTCTCCAGACAAATCTCATCTCGAGTTTCCTCCTTCAACACCCGAAGACAACAACTTTCACCAACCAGCTTCAATCGAACAGAATCAACCGTTCTTGTCTAGATCTCCTTCTGTTCTTCATAGAATCAAATCTTTCAATCTTTACAACTACATTTCTCAAGAACCCACCAATATAATCGAAGCTCCACCACCGTCGGTGACCATAGAGTCAAAACAAGAAGAAGAACAAGTACAAGAACAAGAACAAGAAGAACAGAGTCTTGAAGAGGTTTATAGTAAACTCAATCTAAACCATGTCGCTAGGACAAAATCTGACACTGAACCAGCTGCTGGAATTAGACCTCCGAAGCTTCCAAAGAAGATGAAGAAATCTGCTAGTACCAAATCTCCATTCTCTCACTTTCAAGAAGATGAAATCTCCGTCGAGGCTCGTCGTCCTGCGACGGTGAAAGCACCGAGAGTTACGACGGTGGAAGAAGCTGATGAAGAAGTAGATGCTAAAGCTGATGACTTCATCAATCGATTCAAGCATCAGTTGAAGTTACAGAGAATTGATTCCATTACTAAGTATAAGGAGATGGTGAAGAAAAGAAACGACAAGTGATAAAGAAAACTCGGGGGTTGTTTCTTAACTATGTATTAATTTATGGACTTTTTTGAAAATTCTTAGTTTTGGTTAGCTTTTCTCAATTTCACATCTTCACTGTAGATTATCCACTGTCTTTTTGTTGCCGCAACTGTTTCTCTTTTTCTTTATGACAAGAAAAAAACAAGAAAAAGAAAATTCGAGAATCTTTATCTTTGTACATGACCGAAGGGTTTTGTAATAAATTTTAGAAATAATGATTCAGGAATCTTGGTGGTCGTGGTGCTCGTAGATTGTTGTTCTTGAGGTTTCGTAGTTACGAAATTACCCATAGATGTTTTTACTTTTCAATAGTGATACAAAGATGGTGCAAGAGAGGGTAGTGATGTAAATTTAGCGTAATGGTAATATAGTAGTGTACGTTGTGCTTATCCGTATTTGCAGGATGCTTGGCTGTGAAGCACGTGGAATTCAAGTGTCATGTCTTTTTATTGAAAGATGATGTTTGGTACACTGTTTTTTTCTTAATAACTAGAAAGGATCTATAATTGAATTTTAGATAAATTTCCCACCTATGATAAGATTGGTATTTATGTCATTTGTAAGTTGTAACACATGATTTGGTTGGTGATCACGTTTAAACAAAACGATTAAAAAGTTATTAAAAAGCGGTTATAAATAGCAGATAGAGAAAAAAAGTAAAGTAAACAAAAAAACGGTTAAGCATTTAGTTTAATTGACAGAATTATAGCGGTTGAATAGTACTATAAATTATGTTAAATTATTAAAAACTAAAAACAAAATTAATTTAATTAAAGAATAAATAATATAGAGAAATTTTTAATTCATAATGTAAAATATTGATATAATGATTGGTTTTTATTCATAATATAAAATGTTAATATAGCAAAATGACAAAATAGAATAGTTCGACTAATGTATCAAAACCATACATTGTTTTTTATAGTGGTTGGAATTGATGTTTACGACCATCAAAATTGAGTTTCAATCCATTTTTTTCTCTCTGTTGAGTTGGAATTATACTGAAAAGGTATTCTACTGAAATTGCATAAAATGAAAAGTCATACAGTTTTGAGAGTTAACTAAGTTGAGTGAAGAGATTACAGCAAAGTTGATAAGATAATAGAGAAGAAAAAGTTGTAGAGAGAATTATCTTTGTTTATATATTACTTCCCAGCAGTAAGTAACCGTCATTAATCACTTGTCATGTGTTCATCTCAAATCCAATACAATTAATAAAAAATCAATATATAAATGGTCCGTACCATTTTACGTAAAAAATGCATGGGTTTAATAATTTTTTCGTAATTAAAAATCTGAGTTTTGGATCTTAATTTCCTAACATACTAGTATTTTGCAATTTTCATGGTAACTACTGTAACGAGAAAAAAACTTAGATTTCCATTTTCAGGTAGCCGACATTGGTTTCAAGAAGTTCATAAATAATCTCTACAATTTTAGCCCATATCTCATCGATTGCCACTAGATAACAAGTCCGCACAACTGTATTTCATCGGTTTTTTTTTTGTAGTTTGTCAAATCAAAGTAAGTAGTCCTTAAATTTTGCTTTTCTCGTATATTTGCTGCGTTTATCGTTGTAATTTGTCAAATCAAAGTAACTAGCTAGCACTTATATGCGATTAAGACCAGGAAAACCAAAGTAATGGTAACTTTAGTTATCAGAGTATCTTCTCATTTGTGTGTCCCTTTAGTATGCGTTACTCAATTTTATACTGAAATTAATGATGAAGATCTCCGGACGGATAGATAAAATAGATTTACTTTGTCTCAGGATGGTTAGATTGTGCAATATCATGTATTCATCATATCGTAAACCAAAAATATTTGGGGCTAGATATCCCCAAGAACATTAATATGTTGGTTTAAGCTTGAAAGAGGCTTAAACCGGAGGTTACTTAAACCGTAAGATGTCGGTTTATTGAAGAGATAAAGACTAATTCTTTAAGAGTTATCTAGAGAATATTATGTAATCCTAATTGAGTTATGATTAGGTTTAGAGGTTGTGGCTATATAAGCATATATCGAGTTGTGATATAGCTTAAGAGATTAAGAGAGTTTTATGCGGTTTTAGAGTTTGAGAAGTAATTGAGAGAGACTTAGGTTTTGAGAGATTTTCCTAAGTAATAAAAGAGAGTTATTCTTTTGTTGTTGTGTTCTTGATTACTTTTACAAACTAGAATTGGTATCAGAGATTCAAGGTTTTGATCTTGGAATTTTGAAGAAGGAGACGTGAAGATCCTACGTACGTACAGCCGTCGAGACCGAGCCATGGCCGACGACAGACCACCACGCTCGAAGGAGATCTCACTACCGTCTATCCAATGTCCGATGCTCAACGATTCTCACTACACGGTCTGGGCTAAGCGGATGAGAATCATGTTGAAGATATATCATGTATACGATGCAATCGAACCGGGATCGGAAGATATTGACAAGAACAACATCGCGACAGGATTGTTGTTTCAAGCCATGCCGGAGAGTCTTATATTGCAAGTTGGTGATCATGAGACTCCTAAAACGGTATGGGATGCGATCAAATCACGTCATCAAGGTGCTGATCGAGTCAAGGAAGCAAGACTTCAAACCTTGATGTCGGAATTTGAAAGAATTAGGATGAAGGATACGGATACTATTGATAGCTTCTCGGGGAAGTTATCGGAGTTAGCATCAAAATCTTCCTCACTTGGTGTAAAGATTGAGGAAACCAAACTCGTGAAGAAATTCCTTAATAGCTTACCAAGAGGAATGTTTATTCAAATCATAGCCTCTCTTGAACAAGTTTTAGACTTGAACAAAACTGGTTTTGAAGATATTGTTGGGAGACTAAAAGCATACGAAGAAAGAATACTCGATGAAGAAGCCGGAGGAGAATCTCAAGGGAAGCTTCTCTATGCCAACACATATCAACAAAATTTCAACAATTCAAGAGGGAGGGGCAGAGGAAGAGGATATAGAGGACGTGGTAGAGGTCGGTTTAACTCACAAGAAAGAACAACAAACCAAAACAACCAAGGTCAAGCAAAAGAGAAGAAAGATATCTCAAAGGTGGTTTGTTACCGCTGTGACAAGCCGGGTCACTACGCCTCCTCGTGTCCAGAAAGAGTTCAAAGAACACACGAAGCAAACAAGACAGAGACGGAAGAAGCCGATGCTGCTCTTTACATGCATGAAGTGATCTTTTTGAATGAAGAAAAGGTGATTCCAAGGAATTACGAGATCAAAGATGGGGAAGACAAAGTGTGGTATCTCGACAACGGAGCAAGTAACCACATGACCGGAAACAAGACTTTCTTTTCTGAGCTCAATGAGAAGATTAAGGGAAAAGTGAATTTTGGAGACGGATCATGTATCGACATCGGAGGAAAAGGATCAATACTTTTTCAAAGCAAAACCGAAGAACAAAGACTTGTTACGGATATCTACTATATCCCCGATTTAAAAAGCAACATTCTTAGTCTCGGGCAAGCAACCGAAGCCGGCTGTGACGTGAGGATGAAGCAAGACTACCTAACACTCCATGATTCAAGCGGAAGACTTCTAGTGAAGGTTACGAGATCGCCAAATAGACTATACAAGGTAAGTCTACGAATTGGAAAGCCTATGTGTTTAAACACAACACTAGAAGACGAGACATGGAGATGGCATGCACGTTTGGGGCATGTAAGCTTCAAGACGATGAGAAATATGTCTCAACAAGAGATGGTTCAAGGATTACCAAAGATCAAAGAAGAAACCAGAATTTGCGAGTCATGCCTAGTAGGAAAACAAGTCCGTGGCTCTTTCCCAAAAGCAGCAACATTCCGAGCCACTAAACCATTGGAGCTACTACACGCCGATCTTTGCGGTCCCATATCACCATCAACAATTGCTAACAACAAGTATGTATTTGTTATTATTGATGATTTTTCTAGGTATATGTGGACAATTTTAATGAAAGAGAAAGGAGAAGCTTTCGAAAAATTCAAGGCGTTTAAGCAATTGGTGGAGAAGGAATTTGAAAAAGAAATCATAACTCTAAGGACTGATCGAGGAGGAGAATTCACGTCAAAAGAGTTCAATGATTTTTGCGAAGAAAACGGGATAAAGAGACACCTCACGGCACCATATACACCGCAACAAAATGGTCTGGTAGAGAGAAGGAATAGGACATTAATGGAGATGACTAGGAGCATTCTCAAGGCTATGAAGGTACCAAATTATCTATGGGGAGAGGCAGTCCGTCACTCAACATATGTTATTAATAGGATACCAACGAGAGCCCTTGAAAATATGACTCCCTACGAAAGCTTGCGAGAGAAGAAACCAAGCCTAGATCACTTAAGGGTTTTCGGGTGCTTAGCTTACACGAAGATTGAAGCTACTCGCCTAAAGAAGCTAGATGACAGATCGCAAACTCTAGTACACCTTGGAATTGAGCCGGGAACCAAGGCTTATAGACTTTACAATCCAACGACAAGGAAAGTGGTTGTAAGTCGAGACGTGGTGTTTGATGAAAAGAAAGGTTGGTGCTGGAAAAAACAAGTAAACGGATCAAGGGAAGATCCGGGCATGTTTCACATGAGATGGGGTGAAGTCATAGATGTTGGAGAAGGACCCGTAATTGTCAATAACGATCTAAATGAAGATCTAGATGAAACCGGAAGTAACGGTAGTAACTTTGGTGACCATGATCAAGAACAAGAAGATGACAACAATACTGAGGAGACTAACACCAACACTAACAACAACTTGCCGCATCAACAAGTACAACATCAACAACCACAAGAGCAACAATTAAGACGATCGGGTCGTCAAACTGTTCTACCTAGGCACCTTGAAGATTATGTACTCCAAGCTAAGATAGAAGTAGAGAGACTAGAGAGACTTCTACTTTCAATAAATGATGAGCCGAGAAGCTACAAAGAAGCAAAGGGCTTATTAGAGTGGAGAAAAGCAAGCAAGGAAGAGATTGATTCTATCAACAAAAACAAGACATGGTTTTTGGTTGAAAAGCCGAGAGAAGCAAAAGTGATTGGTCTCAAGTGGATTTTTAAGATCAAGAAAAATGCGGATGATGCTATCAATAAATCCAAGGCCAGATGTAAGATGGGTGAGACGAAGCGAGAGACTGACAAGTCCGATGAGGAGAGGAAGGTTCTTGAAGCCATAGCTTTGAAAGCTTCGGAGTTAGAGACTAAAGTTGCACGGTTGCAGCATGAACTGATCAAGGCTACGACGGAGGCAAAGAAGCTCAATTCTGAGTTTTCACAGAAAGGTCATGGAATTGAGGAAGTGGAGAAAGAGGTCGCTGGTTTAAGGACTGTTAAGGAGGAGAATGAGAAGAGAATGAAGGAATTGGAGACAAAGCTTGGTGCTTTGGAGGTGAAGGAGTTAGAGGAGAAGAACGAAAGGTTCCAAGCAGAGGAAGTAGATGAGGAGAAAGAAAAGGAGGAGAAGAAAAGAAAGAAGATTAATGGTTTGGTTCCTGATAATGGTGTTGTTGTGAAACATATCAAGACAGGTGAAGAAATCGTTGTTTCGAGGAGAGTTGTTGGTGTTTTCCTGCTAATGACAATGGCGGAGTTTAGTGATCAGTTTTTTGGGCTCCAAGATGAGTTTTTCAACTATGGCTGGAGACTTGAGTTTAGAGGGAACAACGTGACTGCGTTGTGGCCTAGGAATGGGAAACCTGGACTGTGGTTGAATTCGAATTCAAGGATGGGAGCGATTTATAGTTTGATTGTGAGAGAAGAGGAGATTTTGATAGAGAATGAAGAGAAGGGACAACAAGGTGAAGCCAATGGTGGAGCATTTATTAGAGAGTCCATCTATGGTGTTGGGATTTATTTAACTGTTGCAAACTGCTCTTACTTCAGTGCTAGATATTGTGATGTTGACAAAAACAGAGCACGTTACATAGATTGTGATGGTGACAAAAACGGAGTTCGTTACATGGTTTTATGTCATGTAATAATGGGGAATATGGAGCTTCTTCGTGGTGATAAAGCTCAATTCTTTTATGGTGGAGAAGAATATGACAATGGAGTAGTCGATGATATCGAGAGTCCAAAGAATTACATTGTCTGGAACATCAATATGAACACTCATATATTCCCCGAATTTGTTTTTAGGTTCAAGCTGTCTAATCTCTCCAATACTGGAGGTAATTTGATTGCTAAGCGTGAAGTTGCTGCGTTGCTTAGAAACAATGATGGTGATAAGAAGATTTCAAGCTTAAGGGGGAGATTGTTGGTTTAAGCTTGAAAGAGGCTTAAACCGGAGGTTACTTAAACCGTAAGATGTCGGTTTATTGAAGAGATAAAGACTAATTCTTTAAGAGTTATCTAGAGAATATTATGTAATCCTAATTGAGTTATGATTAGGTTTAGAGGTTGTGGCTATATAAGCATATATCGAGTTGTGATATAGCTTAAGAGATTAAGAGAGTTTTATGCGGTTTTAGAGTTTGAGAAGTAATTGAGAGAGACTTAGGTTTTGAGAGATTTTCCTAAGTAATAAAAGAGAGTTATTCTTTTGTTGTTGTGTTCTTGATTACTTTTACAAACTAGATAATAATATATTAAATGTTCAAGACCTTTAATTTATTTACAAAAATACTGAACAAATTATCAAAATATTAAGACCTAATAATGAAATTACTTAAGTTTAGCTAAATACTAGTATATGTTAATGAATCATGGAAGAAAGTGTTGTAGCTGAATTATGATTAGACTTATATCATCCAAAGAGCCTCTCTTAAACGATAGCTCGGCTAGTTTCTTGCAGGCAGAAAGTGTCATTGGATTCTCTACGCCTACGCAGTACGGTCGAACCACATCGACCGCCTCTTGGTTCGTTACTTATAACGTTCCAAAAATTAGACCAGCTTCCACATTCAATCCATATACCAAAATTGAGTTGGAATCGGGGACTAGTTTTAAGGTTATTTTAATATTTTTAAAAGATATTCATCTATTATAATTAAAAAGTTTAATAATATTATTTTTAAAATTGCAGTAAACACATAAAACTATATTTTTAAGAAATTTTTATGATTTTTGTTAAAATATTGAACATAATTTCTTGAAAAGCTTTACAAACTCTCAATATAACTGTCTGAATAACAAAAAGAAAAGTTGTTTTATACTTGCAATCTAAAAATAATCTGATTATGCAAGATTAGGCGGAAAATAATCGGATTATGCGGATAGTAATCGGGTGTCTGCTTTTTCAAAGGGATTAGTCATTAATCGAGGCTGATAGGGTAGGCCTACCGATTAAGCATGGAGTAATCGGAGTTAGGCGAATATTTTTAGAACATGGTATGTAACTAATTGATTTGAAAAATAATTTAAACATCTGTTGTTTTATTCTAACTATGTTCAAGCAACTTTTTGTTTTTTTGAAGAAAAAAAATTACTCTTGTTATTATTATTATTAGTAGGTCTCAGAACCATTCCGATGTCGCGGGAGAAATTATTTTAAAAATCGTTAAAAATATCAAACGAAAAATCATAATGAATTGTAACAACTTTGATTTTTTTTTAATAATAAATTAATATATATTTTACGACGATAGATGATTAAATGTTATAACGATTTATGAAATAAACTTAAAGTTGCAATTTTTCATGAAATAAACGAAACGATTGCAACCGTTTTATGAAGAGTTATAATAAAAAGATGCAACCGTAGAAAATATTAACTCGTATTGCAACTTTCTCAAAAAACATAACGTAAAGTATATTGTTAATTTAAAAAATCTAAACGAATCGTTGCGATGTACCAAAAGTTGCAACGGTTCATTAAGTTTGTCAAATAAACTAAAGATTACAACGGTTCGTAAAACAAAACCAAAAGTTTCAATAATTCGTCAAATAAACCAAATGTTGGAACGGTTCACTTAAATGGTTACAATCTCATTTAAATACATTTTGATAATTAAAATTTAGAAACAATAATTTATGAAAAGTTATACCGAGAGACGCGACGGTAGATGATTAAATATTATAGAAATTTATAAAATAAACCAAAAATTGTAATTGTTCGTGAAATAAATTAAAAATATAAACTAAAGGTTGGAATTGTTCGTGGAATAAACTAAATATTACAATGTTGTAGTCCGGTCTTCACGGTGTGGTTTGCTCGGTGTCCTCGTCTTCTGCGAGAGTCGATCTCCCTCCCCAGCAGTGTGAGAAGATTAAAGAATTGCTTTTGTCAGATCCAGTGAGTGCTAGGGTCTTGTTCTTCTCAAATCAGTGGTCCTGGGTTTTTGTTTGTCTATTGGTGGGTATACTTTCCTCCTGCTCTTGTTCCTTCTCCGTGAAGCCGAGGTTAGTTTTTTTAGGTTTGTTTGCATTGTTTTTGGCCTGTGTCTGGTGACTCTTCTGGTTTGATTCGAGTTTGTTTTTGGGTCTTGCGGATACGGTTGAAGCGGCTTTGTTTGTGGGTTTATGGTTTAGCGAAACGTTTGGTTCCGGGTCTGTAGTATCTATGGTGCTGCTATGAGAATTATGTCATTGTTTTGTTGGATCTGATCTTAATTCTTAGTCGCTTTTGTGCTTATTGTTTCCAAGCCGTTTTCGTTGAGTGTTGATTGGACTTTAGTCAGGTTAAGTCCAAGCTTTGCTCTTCTTTTCGTTCATGGTCTCCTCGGCTCAATCATTGAATCACATTGGGTTCCTTTCCTTAATTTTTTTTTTTTGTGGTTCGCTAGACCTCTAAGTTTATATTTCATTCTTCTCCATGATGTTGTTCGTTGTGGTTGTTAGCTGTCTCGATTTTTTCGTCATTCTTGATCTTGAGATTGGTGATTTTCAAGAGGTTGGGCCTATCTCCTTTTCTTTTCTTTCCTGATTTGTTTTGATAGGATCGCCTTTTGAAGGTTTCTAGTTAGACGCTATTGAACGCAACAGTCGTCAGTCGTCGTATTTGGAAGTGTGCTTGAGGTTCTCTTAACTCATTTGTCTCGCTTGTCCGGTTTTGAAATATTGGTTCTTAGTTTTGAGAGATCAGCTCTCATCGTGATAGGAAGAGGTAGATGTTATCTTCGGGTTGGCCGCAAGCATTCTTGGTAAATCTCAATCGCATGTGCTTCAGAAGAATTGGGTTCTTGTGTTCTTAGGTCTTTCGTTTCTATTAAGGTTTAAGCATGATACTTCTTTCTTAGTTTTTTGGTTTTGAGCTTTTGCGTTTGTGGTTTGAAATCTTTTGCTTTGTAGTACTATTGTTTTTAGTTTCCCTTCTATAAGGCCTAGCTTCCGGGAAAATCTCGTTTTCCGCCGGTTTTGTTTTCGAAGACTTTCTTGTCGTCCGCCGCATTAGTTTCTCTCTTTTGGACATTGTATTTTATTTTGGTTCCATTAGAAAATCAATAAAATTCTAGATGACAAGATAGAAAGTATGTCCCAATTGTTAGTTTCTTAAATGCCTCATCATTATATATATTTTTTTCTTTTTTTCTAATTTTTGTCTTCTAATATTGATTGTTTACCTACCCATCAAACAACTCCTAAAACGATAATAGTTGAATTTCTGTCCCGATTCTAATTCTCGGTATGTTGAAAAAAAAAACTGAAATTGCAATGCAATTTTTTTTTAAGAAAAAAAAACTTTAAACCTACCCTTATATTCAAATTAAAAATTATTTTCTAGAACCAACAAAATTTTTTCATTATGTTATTAGTGAGGAATCAAATAATGGACCAATCAATCATTGAAAGCTTTTGGACTTTGGGTTCTCCTCAGCGGCGCGAATGCATAATGGCGACGAATTATTGTTTGTCGTCTTTCTATGTTTACTTTCTCAATATGTAAATACATATCTAACTATCAATGAAAAGACAGAATTTAGAATAAACTATTAGTGTATATGTTTTCAAAGTAGATACTATTAGTAGATATAGTAAATAACCATAAAATTTATCTAAAATTGCAAAGTAACCTTTTTTGGCAAAATAACATATAATTATATCTTATGATACATTCTTTTATATAAATATGAAGCTATTTTTTTCCAAACTATGAAAAACTAATGTCCACTTATTTAATTCTTTTATTGATGTATTTTGAATACAAGCTCTATATGTTGGTATTTTAGCAAATAAAACCAAACAATTAATTATTATAAATTAACATGGTTAGTAGCCAAATTCTTTAATAAGAAAACACCAAAAATGTTACATTGTTCTCGGATTGCTAGTTTAGCTAAGGTAAGGGCGAAAACCGTGGTTTCACAATATCAACATATTATACTTTTTCGATCTTTATTTTTGATTATTAAGATCCAATATTTTTGTTTATGGCAAGAATGTTCTTTGGGTATTCGAAGAGTATTTTTTCGATATGCAAAAGATGGTCTTCGCGTTTTTGGTTTGTATATGCATGTTTGTTTCTGCGTCAATGCTGGAGATTGAGGCTAAGATGCTAGTTTTAGGACTGATTGATCCCCATAAAGAATTAGTGACGAACTATCCGACAAAGTTAATCATCGCATGCGTTAAGAAGTTTTTTAAAAAGTAGCATAGTTTGTTTGACTCGTAAGAGTAACGAAAATAAGTAGTAGTAGTATTAAATTATTAATCATGAATCATGTGGTTGGAGAGACACTTAATAGTATTTTTATATGATATTTTACAACATGCTCGGAGTATATCTTTGTAATATAAACTCAGTTTTTGTTTTTTATTGAAATGTTAGACCCCACTCTTTAGACAGAAGGAATTTGGTACTTTACCTCCTCCAATATTGAAATTGACCCTTCACCATCGTAGATTGATTGAACTTTGCTTGGCTTCATTTGTAAGTCTACTTAATTACCACTAAGATTTCAAATACAATTATTGCCAAAGGGTGATATCTTTTTCCATAGAGATAAAGACTAACCTATGATTACGAATTATGGATCTTTTACATAACATTTCAAAACCGAGAGCAAAACATTACACAACCCCTGAACCTTTACCCTACACAATTGTTCTTGATATCTTGTTTTGTAGGGTACCAAATTCTAGACTAAAACTAAGAATCAAATGTGATTATATATAGAGAATCATGAGACGAGCTATGTCTAAAACCTTACTGTCTCCATACCACAAATACCGGCTTAAGTAGAAGGGTGTAGTTCGACCGCTCCAAGTTCATTGATATAAGGAACCCTAAAAATCAAAATTTGAGCAAAAAGCAGCTACAAGAACGAAATATTTATGGGATTCTTTTGTTATAAAGACATATGTACATAGCAAATGATAATTATGCATATGCTAACACAAATAC